GGGCCCTGGCGAGCTATCCTCACCGTGCGGCCTTCTGCGGCCCGTGACCGCGGGGTGAGGCCGTCCCGCCTCGGAGCTGCGCTGCTGAAGGAAGGGGAGAGCGCCGAGGTGTTGTCAGGGCCTCGGCTTCCCGTGGATGAGCTGTGCAGATTTTATGTAAAGTTGCAACAAAGGGTGCGTGGCAGGTGAGGAAGGAAACTGAAGTCAAGTGACTGTTGCAGGTGTTCGGTAAGCAGGATCTTACACCATCCACCTCTTTTTTAATGATACTGAATTAATATTGCTACTGAAAGTAAGCTTTTAACCTTTCCTTGCCACTGGAAAGGAAACAGAGTAGCAGGCAGGTCATGGCAGATGGAAGAGGAGAAATGAGGTTTCGAAAGGCTTTCAAAAGGCTTTATTCTTCTGGAAAAGGAAATAAAAGGTGTTCTGCAAAGTGAAGCAGAGGCGATACTGGTCTTGCTGTGCTCATTGATGCAGGAAGATAGCTCAAAGCTTAAAATTTTATTTCCCCAAACTGCTTCTCGTGTCCCACCTCTTTGCTAGAAGGACATACCTTTTTTTTTTTTTTTTTTCAGCATGCATAACAACTCCTTATCTTTACCTGTGAGCAGCACATTTTCCTTAACCTGACAAGTACAGTACCCCACCAGCCACAGGCTGCCTGTGCCAGTCACCATCCTGGGCTTGGTAAATTGTGGTGTCTGCCAGAAAAAGCTGCACTGCAACAGCTTGATGCCACTGCAGCACATCACCTGTTTACAGCCATCATCATCCCATAGCTATGGGTATGTAGATGTGACTCTATGAGCATGATATAACTGGGCTCCAGAGCAGGTTTCCTGCTGGGCCATTTCCCTCCACACAAAGTAAGATCTGTTTTGTGTAAAGACAGGCTGAATGGCATTGAAACATGCTTTTAAGAGTGTTTTCCCACATAGGTTGGTCAGTTTGTGCTTTTACTGGCAGTTTTTACTGTTCATAGCAGGCTTTGCAAGAGCTGTCATTAGGCAAAGCTGCCTTGATGTGAAAGGCACCCTATGAAAGGGTTTGCGATAAAAGCTTAGTATAGCTTCATATCCCTCCAGGTCTTCCCTAGGGCCTCCAGACACAGAGAGGAAATCCAGGAGCCCGTACCCTGTGGGGTCTAGCTGCTTTCATGGCAGATTGTGTAATACATCCCTGAGCACTGTGCTACGCTCAGACCACATAGTAAGTGCTTTTTCTGGTCCTTCTTAACCACCTTATGCTTCTACTTGGGCTGCTTCTAACATTGGCATTTCCTAAGAAGATGCAAATCCATTATATTTCAAAGAAAATGCATTTTGCAGATACAGTTCAGTTGTTTCTTTCCAGAAGCATGGCTTTCAAGGCCCAGGAAAGTTAGTATTCAGTAATTAACTGCAGCTGACTATGGACAGTGCAATAAAATTTGGAGAGGATGCACAAGGCTTTAAATCAGTAGGAAAGGGCAAAAGGAAACTCCTGGCTTTGACTCCAGGCCATTTGATGTGTGCTTCAAGTTCTAAAATGTCTTTAGGCAACACGCCTCAAAGTTACATTATCTGTATGTCCAGAAAAGCTGTATTTGTTACTTTTTATGAGCATTTCCTGCTTTCCCTTAATCCTTGAACTTAGTGAGTGAGACTCTTCAAGCAGAAAATAAGAAAGGTTAACTCCAGCAACAAATACAAAGCACCCTAATATAGGCAGTGCTTATAAATCCCAAAACAGCAACTAGGAAATTTCTGTCTTCCTCTTATTTCATGGGCAAATACTACAGCACTTTTCAGAATAAGGTAGAAATTCTCCAAACACTGCAACTTTCTCTGTGGTTCATACCTTCAAATTCCCAGATAAGATTGTAATTTCTGTGTTCATGCAAAAGGATTTTTCCACAGGCATAAATACACTAGCTGGCATGTGGGTTCACCTTCCCCAGGACCTATCTTTGGGGCATTTACTGAGTAGCATCACCATTTCACCCCCATCACCATTTGGCAAGTTCTTGCAGCAGCATGCTTTCAAGTTCATTATTAATTTCACTTTACTGCAGGCATCAAATATCTAGTGAAAGAATCTGAGTGCTGCACAAGACTTCAGATCTAACGGAGTAAATGTCTGTGATATTAGAGCATCATATACTGACAGTCGCTGCTGTGCTGTGGCCATTTCACAAGTTTTCGGGTGTAACCGGTTCTGTTGTGCATAACAGATTTATGCCCTGTGAGAGCTGGTCATCTCATGAGAATTCAGGGGAAATGTTTGTGTGCTCCCCAGCTGGTAAGCACACGACCAGTGTTGTGTGCACCAGTTTATGCCAAGGGGCGCTCACTAACTTAAATAGCCTTTAGAAGTTTAAATGTTCACGTCAGTGTCAGGAAAGGTTGTGCAGTGAAGTGCAATCCATGCCACTCAGAAGGCTGTCATTTCACCAGCGCCAGCAAGCCTTTTAGAGCGCGGTGCAACTCATCCACCTGGGAGATTAATCTGCATCTTTCTCTGCAGGAGCAGCACGTTGCTACTGCCGCTGTTGTGAAGAGCCACTCAAGAAAACTTAACCTCTCTGTGTCTCGAGGAAGGAATTTAAGGCGCTGTGCCCAGCTCTTGCTAGAGCCATTGCCCCAAACCTGCTGAGAAGCTGGCAGACAGAAAGCCAACCAAGCCTAGTCTTCACCAGGCCTACCACTGGTTCCATTAAACCAGTAGGAACACATTTTGATGAAGCTCTTCGCCAGCAACACTTAAAGCAGACAGGTGATGTTGTTAATCCCTCTGGCACCCCTCAAGGCTTTTCTTTACTAGGGCAACAATTAGAAAGCAGGTAAGACAAAAAGTCGGTGTCCCCCTTGAGGGAAGAGCACACCACCTTCCAACAGTCTGTGTCCTCTGCCAGCACTTCATGTAATGCTGCACATTAGTCAGTATGCAGCATGTCTGCTTCCCCAGCTCCTTTTCTCCTGATTCTTTCACTTCCTTTGTTTCACATTTTGACTGGAAAAAAGGCCAAATCTTCCCCTCTCCTCTAGTTTCAAATACAGCCAATATGCAGCCAGTTTACTGAGTTTCTTTTTCTTCTTTCCCCTTCTCTTACTTAACCTTATTTTGATTGATTCCCTTGTAGTCTTGTTCTCTGGTCTCTTTACCTGCTGTTAAGTTAATAACTTCTGGGGATCTGCAGCTTACCACCTTGCTCTTTGAACTGCCTCAGGTATTCTCCCTCTCCAGTCCTAATTTAACAGGATTTCATATGTGTGTGTGTGTGAGAGAGAGAGAGAGACAGCGTGCACCTGCATGTGTGTGTGTGTATTTGTGTGAAACCTGCACATTTCTTCTGAACTTGACAAGGTCAGGTATGTGAACATCTCATGATGGTGGTTTAAACAAGCATCCCTTTTCTGAAATCAGAGTGCTTACTTCTTAAACTCATC